ACGTTTAACCAGTAGCATTCATCAGAGACAGACGAGGGTCATTAATATCACAGATGTATATATAGCTGCTGCCTGTGAAGCATGACATCGGGGTGATCGATGGCCATCTGCGAAATGCATCCTTTCAGAAAGAGGGTGAGAGAGAGAAAAGACAGAGAAAATGAGAGAGAAGATGGTGTGTGTGTGAGAGAGAGAGAGAGAGAGGCAATGTGTATCCTTGGGAAGGTGTAGAGAAGTGTAGGTGACCTGCTGAAGGACATTTTAATTTTATTTATTTTTAATTATATTTTTTATTTTTTTTTTAAGATGTTTTGTCTAAAACACTGTCCAATTATGTCATGACTATGACACCCATAATGTCACTCCAAACTTGTTACTTTTTTTTTTGGTGAAGCAAAAAGCCATAACTGTATATGTCAAATGTATCTCTAATGTATCGAATGTCGTGATTTGAACCCCATTCAAGGTAAATAAATATAGTGTATAAATATAATGTAAAAAAAAATTAAATAAAATCTGAAATAACATGTTAAAAAATACTAGAGTGCTTATTTGGTCATTTCAGATGCATCACAAACTGAGCCAGGAGGGGGTAATTGCCACTGTTGCCCCCCAAATAAAATAGCTTATTTATGCTTATAGCTTAACACCCCCTGGTGTTATCTGTAATTTAACTGAAGTGCCAAAATAAACCAAAAGTGAAATAAAAATCACTAAACTCATTCCTTTTATTTGTTTATTTTGAATATTTTTGGCTGTGTCCACATGCTAAATATATATTTTTGAGTGCCTCCCACATGCTGTGTGTATTTAGCGGCAGGTGGGCTGTATGTTGACTGATCTTGGCTCGCTGTTTGTGTGTCTGTGTGTGTTTAGAGGCAGTTGGCGAGTCTGTTGACTGATTTGGGCCTGACAAGTTCTGCGCTGCTAATCTACGAACGACTGGAACTCTGGGAGGATGCAGTTGCCTGCCTGGAGAGGATGGGACAGCACGGCAAGGTATGCTACTCACATGTGTTTTGTTAAAGAATACAAATTAGTTAAGTATCAGTTTAAACAAATTAATGCCAATGGTTGAGCCAGTGTTGCTGTGTCGGGCTGGTCAGTATTTTCAAATATCGTTTTGATCGTCTCACAGTATTTACTCTAAAGGGAAATCAACCTACAGATGACATGCTTATAGTTGTCTCTAAATATTAAGCTGGGATAAGAGAAAGTGACTTCTGTTAAAGATCTTCAAGAGGGATTTATTGCTGCTTTTTCCTCTTGCCACATCCTTCTCTTCCCTTTGTCCTCTCTATGTCTCCTGCTCTCTTCTTTCCTTTCTATATGAGCTCCTGTCAGCATGCTCTAACAACACGTCTCTCTCTCTCGCTGTGTGTGTTAGTGCAGATTTCTGGGAGCCATTTCACAGCTTTATTAAGTTACCATCCACTTTGTGTACCAATCAGATTATAGGGTACATCTGAGGTCAATAAAACCAGCCAATCACCCCCAATCTGAGCTGTAATATTATAAAAATGTACTGACATCCACTCCACTGTAGTATCTACCTTTCCCTGCACTCATATTAAAGTTTAAAGCCATAAACTGCAGGTATGCGTAGAAAAGAAAGTTAACGACAGAATACCAAGGCGGGTGAAAGGGAGTGATGCTTCATATGAAAGGAAAGAAATGAGAAAATCAGTGAAATGTGTGAAGCAGAGAGAAAGTGAGGTGAGAAGAGGGCGCATACACAAATCAGCAAGTCTGGAGTGGGGAGAAGTGCTTTGCTTTGCTTTGAGTTTTGCTGGTGGTTTAGTCCGTGAGATTTTGTGTTCGTTTAATGAGGGAACATCTTCAGAGCACGAGGGACGTGTACTGATGTTTATTTGATTTGAGTTAGTTATTGTCCCACAAGAGCAGTTGCTGTTGGAATTTACTGTTTGGAGGCTCTTTCCATGAATACTTTTACACTATTTTTACTTTATATTTTTATTATTATTGCTTTACACTCTTTATTATTTTTCAATACCATTAATGTATCTACAGTAAATCCAATTATTTTGCATTGACCACTGTTAGTTG